TATATATATATATATATATATATATATATATATTTGCTTATGAAATTATAGAATTGCGTCTGTCTACACATCTAAAATTTCGTAATTCAACCAATATGACACCGCGCATGGGGTTGTCCATTGACCAAACCGAAGGACCTAAATAATCGAGTCGAATTTTTGGAGAAATCAATATGATCGAAATTTTGTCCCATATAAAAAATAAATTGCACCGAAAGTCGGCATCAAAACAAAATAACTGAAACTTTAAAATTTTAAAAGTAATAACAGATAATCAGACTGAAATATATAAATTCAAAACGAAAATTTTACTTCGGTCTGTTTTCAGTTGCTATTGTGCAGTATGACAGTCATGTGCAGTTAATCTAGCATTATTGTGCACTCTCAATGCAAACATTTTTAATATTTTTTCCCAAGCTAAACATCCATTGAACCGAACCAACTGTCTCATTTGATTGATAAACCGAGTTAATCTAAATAATTAGAATATTTTATTATAAATATTATAAAATATATGTAGTATTTAATATTTATACTATTTTTTTTTGTCGAAAGTTATAATATATATATAAACTATATAAAAAATAGTATTTTTATATAATTATGTCAGACTGATTATTTAAAAAAATAAAGTTGTCATCAAAGCGATATAACCGAATTTTAAAAGAACGAACATATAATCGAATTGTAGTATTCAAATCAAAAATTTTAGGTCAGTCTCGGTCGGTATTGTGCAGTCTGACAATCGTTAATGTGCATCTTGTCTAACAACATTGTGCATTGTGTATTGCACCCATTTTTTAATGTGTTTATAGCAAAATTGTGCAAATTACTTAGCATTAATGTGCTTTTCATTAACTGAAATTCAAATATAAATTTTTTAATAAACTATAGATTTTACCCAATGACTAAATTGTAATATAAGTAAAATTCACGAGATTTGCAATTAAGTCCTCGGTACATATCAAATTGTCAAATGAGATCCCTATGTCCAAATTGCAATTCATGTCATCACTTCATGATTCTCGTTGGTGCCGTTCTCGGTCAGCCGGAGATCGACTTTCGGCCCCGCCGCTTATAGCAGCGAAATCGACTTCCGGCCGCCACTCCGTGCGAGATTCACGGCTTGAATGAATTTGTGATGGATTATTTTCTCGTCAGCGGTTGTGAGGAAGGTGCGACTCCAGCAGTGCCGTCATGTTTCCCGGCGGAGCCACTGACGGCATAGATGGCTGCGATCTGGAAATCGCGTTTGTGAGGGAGGCGTGACGGCGACGACTCAGGTGTTCTCAGGCGGCAGCGGCCGACGGGGGTGTTCTCAACCGGCGGCGGCGCAGGTCCTGCGCAGGTCCTTACACCGTATGTTGATTAATTTTTCAACAAATTTGAAATTTTCTGCCAAAAAAACAGTCATCAAATAACCTAAATAAATTTGCTCACTTTATACCATATATTGGTTAATTTATTTCACATAGAAACAACCATCAATACAAAAAATAAATTCGTCCACTTTATACAATATATTAATTAATTCGCATGATTTGAGTAATCAAGGTATCTTAAAATATGGCTTAATATATATATTGAAAGAGGATGGTAAATAAATCATTTGTAGAAAGTTGATAAAAAGCTTGGGTCAAATCCTTTGACTTACCACTTATAGAAAATCAGTTCAAAATTCAAATTTTGCATTTGTTGTATAGTTCATTCATGTAAATAAATCTGTTTTGGAAATAAATCAAGATTTTCCTTTTTATTGGCCATGTCCTTTGGAAGTAAATCTACTTTGAAAATTTAAATATATTTGTGGCTGATATTTTTATTTGGAAAGAAATTATATTGTTTAGAGATTTAATTTTATGTTTATCGAGAGTTCACAATTGTCTTTCTTATTTTTTTTTAAAGTCAATATTCATTATCGATTAAGAAAAATATATATATGATTTTTTAAAATCTCACTTTTTATGAAGACATTATTTAAAAATATGATTTAAACAGAAATATTATTTATTTAATATCTATATACGATTTTGCTATGTTTGATTTTGCTAATCGGAAATTGTATTGAAATACTCTTTACAAAAATTGTCCTAATTAGTAATTGCTCGCAATTATGTAATTAGTATATAATCGAACTTTTTGGTTTATCTAAATAATTTTGAATCTTTTGAAATATGATTTTAAATGTGTAGAGTCCTAAAATATGCATATGTATAATTAAATATGTAAATTTACGGGCAATACATTAAAATTCTTTAACTAATAAACAATGTGCATATCGAATCTTAAAGTATCTATAGCATTGATATTCTTTATTTGATAAACAAATAAATATCAAATGCTTTTTTAACTAATCTAAAAATGGATATAAATCATCCGTACAAATGATCTATATAGTATATGAAATTTATATTCACTTATATAAATGACACAACTATATTTCACTTATACTAATTTGATATCGAATGTTTTAAAAAATTGTAGCAGATATATACTAAATTGATCTCGAATTATCGAGTTATGGGTCAATGACACAACTAAGGTTGATCCCGAGTGATGGGTCAGTTTGACCAGCCCAAATCGATTACTGAACTAAATATAATTTTTAATATTAAAAATACATTATTAAAATAAATGTAATGTAGTTCATACTCCAAATAATCATATTAAGAATGCTTTTGTGACAACATGTTCAAGAAAGTATGAAAAATTATATTTTATTTTATTAATATTTATGTGAACAAAATGATGTTGCATTACAACTTTATTAATGTACGGTAAATTCAAAGTTCTTAGGAGATGACCGTTTTCAAAACGATCAAATTATTTATTCAATGATTTATTAATTGCATCATAATATAAATTATTAATATTTTAATATATATATATAGTACTTCTTATAATAAATTTATTAAAAAATATTATTTAAATATATGAACATTTTGGAAATTTTCAGTGTTTAACTAAATGATAAATAATTTATAAATGTCCACTTTATTTAAATATTTATTTTTACTTATATTAAAAATAGTTTTAAATGTAACAAAATTTATTTAAAAAATTGTACCGTTACTACAATTCTGACCGACTAGTGTTGACCGGTGCTCTAGCAAACAATTTATTCAAGCAATATATATTTATTTGGTATATATCTATTATACAACATTTATTTCATATATATACATACAATGTTTTACAAGATCAACACGTACTGTTACTGTGCAAGGAACCATTCTACTTGATAAACATCGTAATTTGCAGTCATATCAATATACACTGCATACTTATGAATGACGTTATGGTTTCTTACACAATGGCTGTTAACAAGAGCCAGGAACAATTGTTATCCCAAACTAAAACGTTGTGTACAATAAGAAAGTATTCAATAATTTTTAATTTTTTTTACCTTCTTTGCGATCCATTTATTTTTGTTACATATATATGAATTATACTAAAATCCACAAGTCAAACAATCTAGAAAAATATATCATTCTGTGTATCACACAGGCTACGCGCTAGTTATAGATACAAATCATCAAATGCAAATATATTGACGTATAGAGTTCACCACACTACTAAACATGTGTCTTTTGTCTATATTTAGTGATCGTGAAAATTTAGCAACATATTGTCACTATTTTTTTAAAGCATTGTAACTAATAAAAATATTTAGTGATCATGAAAACAAAAATTACAACATATTGTCACTATTTTTTTTAAAGCATTGTAACTAATAAAAATTTAGCAAAGAACAAAATTGAGATAAATAACAAAGTCATAAAAATAAATGTTTGCAACTATATGCTTCAAACTTTACATTTTAATCACTCTGTAATTACAATTATTTGTGACGAGCTATGAACATGGTACGAAATTATTGCATTATAGTTTTATTATCAATTTATTTTTATTTTTTAAAAAATATTTGTCTCAATATTTAGAACCAAACAAGAATTAAATCAATCATTTTTCATTCGGTCATCTAACCATTTTTTTTAATAAATAGTTGGTGCAATATATATTTATTTTTTATGACTTGCTTGTTAAAAAATGTTTCGATTTGAAAAATGGGGAAAAACTAAAGTCGAAATGGGACAAAATGTAAACTCCTATACTATTAACTAAAAATTATAAAAATTGAGGGGAACAGTTCTGAAGACTACTCTACATGTAGGTTTGCCCTTGTTCTCACAAGAACTAGTACGAATCCCGTGCGATGCACGAGCAAGAGATATTAATTAATATTTATAAATTAAAATTCTCATTAAATATGATATGATATATTATATACCTGAAGGAATATACCATATCACTATGCCGGCCATACGAGCCTAATGTTGGAAATGCCACGATGGTCAAGCAATAGCATGATGAAAGGTAGTGGTCGAATATTGTGGCAGATCTGGTCGAAGATCGACCTATTGAATGAGAGATCATTGGATCGACCACCTCGCAAGTGAAGAGCAATCGAGAGCGTGATCCATACGTGAGGGAGCGCATTGGCCTCCTAGGGAATTTTCGAGGAATATTCAAGGGAATAATTACCTCATGTGCAGAGGACACGTGGCGAGGATTTATTGGCGCGCAGTGATAGTGGCGATAACCACCTCTGATACACACATACTGTGTGTGTACAAACGGGCAAATCCGGGTAGCTTTGGGCAGACAGCTCATCAAATTCGGGCAGTTCCTAGGGCAGGTATCTCACCCCTATATATATGTGGGTGAGCCTTTCTTGTTACACACGATTTATTGATTTTTACTCTTCAGAATTGAGTTGAACAAACACTGACTTAAGCATCGGAGGCTCTTCACCGGAAACCCCCTCCGGTGTGAGAGTTCTTTGCAGGTACGCGGCGT